CTTTTTATTATTTCACCACAAGCGTATTTGCTTTGCACGTGTTTGTTAATGTTTTTAAATCGAGTTGGGGATTTTGTGCACCGATTTCTATTTACTTATTGGCCGAAACACTCCCAACTAGGAAACTGAAACTGACTGCTCCCAATTGGGAAAAATAATCCAAAACTAATCTATCGGATAGTTTGGGTTTTTATGTTACCCAGTTCATGATTTTTATGGCTGCTCAAGTATTTCAGTTGCTTGAGAATTACATAAAAACTTGTATACAGCGTGCCTTGAAGGTCGATTACCCCGCTTAATTAAGCACGATTTGGCGTCATATTCTTGAAATATAAATTAAAATTTCAAGTTGATTTTGTCTTAAAGTTTTTAATGGTCAATAATATTTATTTTGGATTTTTTTTTTTGTTGGAACTTGCTTTTGTTTTTTTTTTAAGATTTGGGCAACTGTGTGAAAAAACGATGGCTCTTTAAATAAATTTTCTAAAGATGAAACAACTTTACTTAAAACAAATCATAGAATAATCTCCCTAAAACTTTTAACCGTGAAGCTATTACGATTATTTTTTATGATGAATATAAAAAGGTTATGGTCTTTAGGGAAAAATCCGTTTTTGTCTTTCCCATCAAGTACAGTAACCTCGACGACTTATAGTCAGAACCTAATGCCTTATAATAATGCTCACCTTCTTCGCAGATTGTCGGTCTGGTCGAGCGACAGATTGGGGCTGCTGCCGTGGTGTCGCCTCCGTCCGTGGAGTTGCTGCTGCTGCCGGGAGGCGGCGGTGGCGACATTGACCAGATCATCGCGACTTTTGCTCAGACTGTCGCTGAACGGTTGCATTGTCCAGGATTGGTATGGTATGGGTATTTGTATTGGTGGCTCTATGTTCGAACCTTACGACATTCTGGTCAATAAAGGGGTTGCTATATGGAGATACCACGAACATTAATACATTTTTGGCTGGGGATTCCCATTTCACACGCACACACACACGCGCACATTCACGCGCAATCTCTTATCAATGAACGACGAAAATCAATAAGAAGCAAACGACGTCAAACGCCAAAGGGCAAAAGGATATGCGCGCAGGAGGGGGAGCGAGACAGCAATAGCACCCACGCAAAGGAAGCACAGTTACACACACAAGCAAGCGGCGAAGAAGGGTCGATAATTGCACTTGCCATTTATTCACTTTGCATTCCGGCTAAATGTTGTTTTTCTTTCACTTTCAAACTGCAGGCCGAGCTATTTTTATGATGCCTTTAAAAGGCGAATCGCACAAAAGAATAGGCGCACACACAAGCTCACGTTCAGGTATTCTTTCTTATTTGTACACAGAAAAAAACAAGTAGATATCAACTATTTATTTAGAATTGTATCCAGGTTTTATAAGTTAAATGGATTTCCAATTATTTGAGATGTAATACAATTATTTCATTATTATAGTTATTTTCTTTTGTTTTTACTAGAATAATATGCAATTTTATATTTTTAAAAGGCTATCAGTTGTTTCAAAAGAACGACAAATATAAGATATCATATTTTTCCTGTGTGCAACTCCACTTCTTCGTTGGACTTTTTTTTTGTATTTAACTTGGCCAAAGCTAGAACATAACAAAAACTACAAACACAAATGTTCCCACACACACACCAGTGTACATTTCTCGCTTTTGCTGTCTCGTTCACACCCACCCAGTGGGACCCTTCTCTCTCGCTCGCACCAATGGCGGAAGCCTTACAGCGCAGCTTTGAGCTGTTGCTGCTTCTTCTTCCTCCGCTGCTGCCTTTTGCTCGCTCTTTCGCTCTTTTGGCCAAGAAAATCAATATAAAAATTCTTGTATTTGCACATTTTTCACACACTTTGCACACTTTTCCAGCAATTTTCCACAGCAAATCGAGGTGTTTACATTGATTCGTACTTTATTCGGCCATTGGCGAGTAACTATTATTTGATTTCAGCTTGAAATGGAACAATTAAAGACTGGTTTTCTGCTCTTCTTGGAGCTCCGCTGCGAAACGCGTTTATTCCGACCAACCGTCCGCACCAAAGGTAGATACAAATCGACTAAAAAGCAAAAACTGGCTGCTGGCTCTGCTTTGGCTTTGGCCGAAACCGAGTTCCAATCCGCTCTCTCGCGCTCTCTCCTGCGGATTTCCTCCCCTTAAACCAGTTTCGAGCGCAGGTTGCGTTGCACTGCGCAAGTGTGCGGGAGAGCGATTGCGCGGGAGGGCCAACCACAAAAAGGCATCCACTGGCAAGGCACTGTACCGTTGTTGTTGTTGTTGCTACTCCGATTCTCTCCTCTTTTTTTCTGCTCTCCCCATTCTACTTGTTGTTGCCAATGAAACTGGATCTGGCTTAAAAGCTAAGTAAAGCTCTTGTCCGCGACGTGCACGATCGTGTTCAGTGGCTAAAAGCGCTCATGTCAGCAGCCTCTCAGCTTTTGACATAAAATGCTGGAAATGATAATAGAATTAAAAATAAATTCCATTTTCACCTATTTTTGATTTTCAAACGTAGTTATATCCCTTTTAACTATTAAGTACTGATTTTAACAATACTATTAGCCGCTTTTGGAATATTTTGGAACTTTAGAATAATCTGTTATTATATAGTGGGTATATTTCGCATTTAATGTGATTTAAAGTCAGCTTCTTCATAAATGTTTATCTTGAGTTTATGCAAGATTTCAGTATTTCTAATTGTACTACATACATACATATGTACATATGTACATATATGTCTGTCGGCTCTAAAGTAAGTCAAATAGTTAGTGATACTCTAAACAAGAATTTTGGTTGCCTAATTTTATGGAAAAATGTTATTAAATTGTACTACATACATACATAATATATATGTCTGTCGGCTCTAAAGTAAGTCAAATAGTTAGTGAAACTCTAAACAAGAATTTTGGTTGCCTAATTTTATGGAAAAATGTTATTAAAGCATGAGATTAACTACTAAGAATACGATGCTTTTCCTGATTATATGCTTCGCTCAACACACAAACATAAATACATATGAAGATTAAACATTAAATTGTTCTTAAATGCAACACATAAACAACCTAACTAAAGCTGATAAGAGTCGGCACGTCATAAGTCGGGTATGCAGTAGAACTCGGCACGTCATCAAAGAATTGTTATACAAGACCAGAGCTGTGAAAACAGTGACTCTGGATTTGTGTCGAATCCCACTCCCCTGCTCCTCCACGTTTGCACAACAGGTAGATCCAGAAAATGAAAATAACATAGTGCAGCAGGTAGCATAATTTCTATGTAAACAAAGATGACTCATACCCACCGGGGAAAAGAGGAGGACGGATCTCTTTGGAGACCATGTTAGTGGGTGGGGTCATCCTTACATAGTGGAAAAAACTTGTTATTCATTGACCATTTAAATGTTTACCTATAAAATGGGGTTATAGTTATCATAGCATTTAATATTCACAATTGGGAAACCCTTATTCTAAATATGAAATAATATTTAAATATGAAAGACTAAATACTAACAATAATTGGGATTCAGATTATATAAACAGATAATCAGTTTGCTGGTGTGACTATCAACTATTGGTTACCTTTTAATAGTTTTTGTCGCGGTGTATCTTCCCAATCACACATTCCGCTTTTCCCTTCTAAGAGTTAGTCCCCATTCTCTTGTTTGTTCTGACCAATAAATTGTTATGCTGCCTGCGTGCTGCTCAGGCGTTTTCTTTTGGTCCATTGCGCATGAGTCATAGGTTTTCAGGTATTTGAGGGACACAGAGGGACAGTGTCCGGGGTCCAGTTCCATGTCCAGGGTGCAGGTTCCCTTCCCGTCAATCAGTGCCACATGAGATGGGGTCCCAACACAATAATTGCCTTTAACGAGTCCAAGTTAAGGGTGGTTGAGGATCATTGAGATAAGGATCTTGTGGGTATTGTTGTTCTCACCCTAATAGTGTATCTGTGGAAGATTGGAATGATATTTCTTCCTTTTGTGCTTCAAAATTATGGATTGTTCTGTTTTTTATTCCCTTTAAAAAAAATTTTTTTTTTAATTTCCTAGAAAATCTAGAGTCCCATGATTCCCTTGCAATACGGTACACTTGATTTAAAGTTAAGCTACTGCCATCATGAAATACCTTTTTAATATTAATGTATTCTTTAATATTCTCATCACAAATACGTAATATACTTAAATAGTTAATATACGCCGTTATGGATCTGGAAATTAAGTGAAGAACTTATAACGACGAGTTTCTTGAAATGAAACATGTAAGATTTTATTACTTCCATTCGCAGGCGAGCATTTAAATAATATTTCACACAGGTCTTGTGGTTTGTTTATTGCCAAACTTAAATACATGTCTTAGAAGCTATTCTTACAAATGTGATCTTGCACAGAAGCCAGATCTCTAATCGGCTTATATCGGATTCAGCAAAATCTATTTCTTAACATCTTGTATAAACTAAGTTGTAAATGCTTAATTCAATAATTAAATGTAATTATATTAGCAGACAGAAAATGCTACGTGCTGTTAATTAGAGTTGCCTTATCAGTGCTGTCAAAAATACCGGAGCGAGTGCTGTTCAAAAAATGTTTCTTGGCACATTTGGTTTTGATTTAATTGTTAAAAAGCTAAATGATTATTAAGTACGAATCGGTTGTTTAGAAACTGCCACCATAGGATAAGAAAACTATACCGAAAAGACTCTGTATTCCAGATGCGCCATGCAAATGATTGTAATTAAGACCATTTCATTCATTGTCAGTTATGCGATAGCGAATGTTGTCAAAGATCAAGGCAATGCGATATACGAAATGCCAGAAAGGATGAGGTTCACAATGAGTTGCGGTGAGCGGATGGAGAAATCTCCAAGTGGGATCATTATGAGGTATAATTTTAAAACTGCTGTTGATATTACCAGGAGGGGTTTTCGAAGTCGGGAGTCGGGTTCAGTAGAGCTTTAGGTATATCGTAGATATTAGGGAAGCAACGAATACGCATTTCGCTGTTAGAAGTAATGGCGGAGTACATATCGAAAACGAATCTATAAATAGTAGTCACAAAATTGAGATTAATAAATCGGGTGTCCATCGCAGCACATAGTATATATAGGTCCTAATCTGACTAACAATTTTCCTTTAAATACTTTATTTAAAGCAACTTAGAGTATACAAAATATCAATATATTCAACTGTCACAGAACGGTTTTTTGTTTAACGCACTTAAGGCGACTTAATAATTAATACTGGTTCTGATTCCCCTGACCACAGTGCGCCTCAAAAAGACGTTGAATTAATTTAAACCTCAAAACATTTGTGTGTTGAAACATAGATACTGTGTGAAATAAGTTAAAAGGCTTTAAACGCTTCCAATTTGAGAAACGCACTGAATATCAATTGTGTGAGTGGGAATCTCCTCAGAATTGACCTCCCAGGAATCCCACCCATGTCAAGTTAATCTCAATTCACAAATATTGTCTTTTTCACACTACTCTTCCTTGGTGGAGGTTGCATTTACTTTTGCTTGCTTGCAAATGAGACCTTAGGGAGGATTATTTTTCTGGATTCTTGTAGAACTCTTGATTATGTAATAAATATGTACAGGGGAATTCTGCGAAATTCTATTCGGAGGTGTTACAGAGATTTTTTAGAGCATTACAGGCCACACAAATGGATTCAAACAATGCTACTGCTGTCCTATTCATTTCATACTAAGAATATCATTCTTTTGCTTATATTGGGTTACATTTTTTGAGGAAAGTTGAGTATCATGTTAAATAGATTATTTATATTTCTGCTGTAACGTCTATGTTTCAATATTTGATTTTGTTTTAAGGAATATGTTTCTTTACCCTGTAGACATTCATTTCTATTTCTTTTTCTGTTTGACGCCCAACGCTCTGAGCCTATGGTTATATATGTTAGTTGATATATTCTCAGGTACGCGCTGCATTTCTCTAGTTAACATTCCCCTTTCCGTAAATTGAAATCTGCTTAAAGGAACATTGATCTTTTCTTTAGATGTATCGGTTAGGCGAGCAACAAAATAAGCTTTTTGCTAAGTAGGTAATTTCTAAAATCTCTGGGGATTATCGCTGGACTGCGGCTGCTCGCCCGCCTCCAGCTGCTCCTGTTCCCGCAGCTCTTGCTCCTGATCCTGGTCGTTGTCCTCCTCATCGCTGGAGTCAACATAGTTGCGCATGGCTAGCGCCTGAAAGTCGTTCAAGGCCTGCTCGAAGAGATCGATGGTGTGCTGGTTGTGGGCAATCACCTGTTGGGTGTTCCTCAGGTCACGCGTGATCAGATCCTGCATGGAACTTGAGGCAGGTGAGGAGGCAGGCGAGCGCCCTGCATCGTTTGAATTTGTGGAGTTGGATTGCTCACCGCTGCTGCTGAGATCGTCGTTGAGATTGCTAGCTGTCAGTCCCCGAGTGAGTTCATCTGCATGAGCCAGCGTGGAGCCGATTATGTCGCTTGCAATCCTAATGGCAGCATCTGTGGCTGCTATGGTGGATATGAAACTGGAGGCAGCTGCCGCCACAGTGGTTGGATCTGCTGTGTTGGTTGGTCTGCTGAAGATAGTATCGCTGGTCACCTGGTTGCCTTCGATCCGCAGACCGGCCACCCCTTTTTTGGGTATAGTGGCTAGGTCTCGCTTAACCCTTCGGCAGCGAGTGGGTTCATTCTGCCGCTGCTGGACAAGCTGCTCCAAGTCCACAATGTAGACGTAGCCGGCCACCAAAATTGTACAGGATTTTTCGCCCTTCTTAAAGGCATCTTCGATGTCCTGACTAGTGCGGTCATCGTACTGCCACCAACCTAAAGTTACACAGTTTGACGAGAAAGAAAAATTCGGAATGGAATTGGTCCAATTCTTTTCGATGATTTGGCCATTTATCACAGTTTGATTTTATGGAAATGGATGTGCGGAATGAGTAAGGAGTTAGGTGTTGTAATTAATTATTAAAGCGTTGTTGTATTTTTAGTTATTGCTCAGTCCAGCCACTCCTTTCTTTCCGCCAGGAACGTCATCCGAGCTCTTGCAGCGCATGATATTGCGACGCTTTTCTGGAGCCGATCGGAGGTACTGTATCTTCTGCAAAAAGTCGATGATGTACATTCGCCCGCAGATCAGAATGTGCAGCCTGCCTGGATGAGGCCTAATAACGTTCTGATCCTCGGAGTCTGAGCTCAGGTAATCCTCGCGGGATGGGCTTGGAGAGTCCCGATCCTCGTTATCGGGTGAGATTAGAGCGCCCTGATCAAATGGACGATTATTGGACGGATATACAACCTCTGCATTGCTATTGAAGAAAATTACATTTTCTTCGCTCACATAATAGTAATTGACAGGGGTTAGATGGTCCCGATCGAATATTGCCGCAATAGTAGGGTTCTGTGCCTTGTATATCTGATAGCTTGCATAGGCGATCTCGATGTCTCCGTTGGTCCGAGAATCGTAGGCCCACCAGCCCCCTAGATGTGTTAAGTGCGTGGAGGATTTGGGGTTTATGGGAAATGAGGGATGGCCGACACCAGAAGCTTAATTATACTTACCATTCCTTCCCTCGTAATACCACTGGAAGCCATCCTCGGTCGCGCGAGTGGTGCAGATGTCCTCAATGCCATTCACCAGCTGGGGATGATCCAGGAACTCTGCTGGAATTTCGCGGCGGCACATAGCACAGCGGCGGTTCTTATAAGCAACGCCCTGGAAAGCGTAAATTAAAAAAATAAATAAAACAAGATAAAATGCTAGAGTCGAGTTCCCCGACTATCAGATACCCGTTACTCAGCTAGTGGAAAAGCAAACGAGAAATTTCAGCATTTTCTGGAATATCGGTAAACCAAAGTTTTACCAAAGTAAAGCAAAGTTTTTTGCAAATTTACAAGATATATAAAAAAGTAAACAAAAAAAGTGTGGGCGAGACTTTTTTTGGGTTTGTAAGCGTAGGAGTGGGTGTGGCATTTGGAAACGAACGTGCGCTGCGTCTATGTCTCTGGAAGCTGCATGCTTAATCTCAACATTCTAGCTTTTGAAGTTCCTGAGAACGAGGCGTTCATACGGACATGGCCAGTTCGACTTGGCTATTGAACCTAATCAAGACGAGTAACGGGTATAATTAAAAAAATGCAGAAAGGTATTTTATCATAGAAAAATAATAAACATTAATTTTTTTGATTCATTAGCGCAAAAGTACGAAAATGGGAGCAACCTAAGGCCTTTAAGTCATGTTTAGTACATTCGAATAAAAAAATGTGGTCTTTCAACTAAAAAATAAATAAATAAAAAAATAATCTGCAGGAAGCTTAAACTTTTTTTAAGGAAGTTAGGTTCGCCTCTGAACTAACACTTTCTCACGCCCAAACAAGTTTCTGAACAGGAAAATGCACTCGAGTGCTAATTGGAGTAGCAGTCTTAGGCTGAAACTGGTTGAAGTTGGCAGGAGACGGAGACCAATTGACAAGTCGCCGGCCGGAAGCCAATCTAATGACATAATTTCTGGTATGCCGTCTTCGGTTGGCATGCTAATTAATCAGTGAAACCAGCTGTCGCCCCAAAGGGTTAAGAACAGCCTTGAACTTGACTACGTGCTGTGGGTGCTTTTGCTGGTCAGAAATAATATTCAAAAATCGGGTTTGAATGTGAATTGAATTCCTAAGTGACCGGGAAAGGCTTCCGCCTTGGGCTTACTAAGCTACATACCTTCACGCACAAGAAGCAGAAGATGTGTCCACAGGGGAGACGAGCTGGGTGGATGCATGTTTGCAGACAGATGGGACACTCCAGGGCAGCTGCCGCTGTAGAAGGGGAATCTTCGCCAGAAACTGCTGCCGCTAAAAATGAAGGCAATAAGTTAAATGAAATCTAATACATATGAATACCAAAATTAATAATAACCTTATAATATTACAATAGTATTTCTCTTGTGCTCGAGACAGTTCGTTTCGCCTTTTTTGATTTTTCAATTTATACTCAAGGGCAGATTGGGATAAAGGTAGTCCATTTTATAATATTACAGAACAATAATCCTAATCAATACAATTAAAATGCCCATAAATATTTGTTCGGCGATCACAGGGCTGTTCAGCTTAAAATTAATAAAATTTTAAGTATCCCTTCGCGGTTTTATGAATTCTATTGCGTTAGGTTGACATAATCACAATTGCATCTAGAATGGCTTTGAAATGGTTTTAGGAAGTCCTTCAAAATGATATTCCATACACATGTATATGTACTTATGCTCGTATAGTGCATGTATATTAAATACAAGGTGGTGGAAGGCCACTTTGCTTACCTGCATCCACGTTGGTGGCTATCGCTGCTTCCTCGGGCGTAGAAGCAGGTGAATCGGGGTCCGAAGCCGCAGCAGCAGCAGCAGCTCCAGATGCGGATCCAGCCGCCGGATCCTCGGCACTTCCGTTTCCGGGGTGGGCTGCAGCCGCCGCTGCCGCCGCCGCCGCAGCAGCGGAAGTGGAGGGCGACAGGCAGAGATCGATGACTGGGGCGGTGGGACGCAGAACTGCGACGAATTGCACATCCGTGTCCTCGTCGTCGTCGTCCAGCGTAATCACGTCGCTTGTGTTGCTGGAGGCTGCGCTCTGCTCCGTGGAGCGTTGTTGCGACATGGTAGGACTGGGTCGATCTCGTCAGCAGCGGGGAAAGCGAGCTGTTGACGTCGACGTGCTGCTTTAAAATTTTCGCAAACAAAATATGAAACAAAAAATTGTTGCTGCTTAAGTATGACCAGCTGAGGTTGGCTTTGAAATACTGTCGTCAGCACAAATACTAAATTCGGGTTGGTGTGACCGTTGATTGAGTTGTCAGTGTTGTTAAGTGCTAAATTGGCGCCAAGGAATCTATTTAAATATGATTTGATAAACATGTATAAGATTCAATGTTCATTGAGTTCTTCTAGTATTTAAAATAAAAGTTAACAATTATTTAAAAGGAACTTGATATGGAAATAAACTTTCTAGCTTGAAGCTTATTTAAGATAAAATTAAGATAATTTTTGATCTAAGACTATTTTTACTATTAAAAAAATAGTCAAATTATTCAATAAATCATATTTCATAAAGTATGTGCACATTCTAAAGAGATATCGTAATTATTTCTAAAGCATTTGCCACCGCTTTCACTACCTGCAGCCGCCACATTAATAATGCTTTATTAAATTCACAAAAACCAATTAAAATTATGCGCTTCATTACACGCAACACCTCTTGCAGCGAACTGCCATAATATTTATAGCCCACCTCCATCGAGAATTTAACTTCATAAAAATTGACAGGCCTTCGGCCAGCGTTTTTGACCAGCGAAGGCATCACGCGCTTTTTAATATGCAGCCGGCATGCGACAGCCCAAAAAAGTGACACAACAACAGCCAGTTGCAGTTGTCCTGGACAGGACCTTCGCACTCATTACATAAAAATCAATTTTTGGTTTATTTTTGCACTCGCCGCCCCCTGCAATTGCATGTCATTTTTTGCCAATTACACCCACACCCTCACACTCGCGGCCAATTGCCTAATTGCGCGACGGCCAAACGCGTTGAAGTCAACTGGCGACGAGTTTTGTAAATTACTCTCGTTCTGCCACGATCCTGCGACTCTGCCACTCTGCAACTGCGAATGTGATGTCCTGCCGGGCTGTTTAATGCACGTGTCCCTTCGGGCGTTTTAAAAATGTGTTGCCCGTCCTGGGATGCCACTCATTCGACGTGATTTGCCTTGGGGAATGTGTATTTTCAGAAAGCCAACAAAAAATAAGAACAACAACGACAGACCCTAGTATCTAGAATTTAGACCATAAGTTTACCTGGGCATCCGATTTCAAGGCATAAACTCATGTAAATCGCACACTATTTAACCCATATTCGTTTATTATTTATTAGTTGTTAGTTTCTACCATTCTTTGTTTTTTATTCTACCCATTACTAGCACTTTTTCATGCTAGATTGCTTGATTTGCGGCAGTAGGTAAATATATCTATATATTTATTTCAATTATATTTGCGAGCAGCACTCCAACTCCAATCCAGCATACCCGTCACCATTCGAAAGGCACACTAACTACTTAATATGCACGGCGAGTCCTTGAACTCCCGACACTCAACCCTTTATCCTGTGTGCTCGTTTCGGCACTTGGTTTTTTGGCATAATTGTTCTATGCTCTGCACAATTGAATTTTATTTGCCAGCAAACGATCGAGAAACAGCAGAAATTTAAATTATGATTGCCGCCTCATTGTTTCATGGCCCTGCGGTCACTAAGCGAAAACCATAAAAGTAACCCGCAGAAGTGAAGGAGAAGAAACCTCAAATCTTAAGGCAATTATCAGGCCGGCGAAGAACAACCGTTTACAACGGTGGACGCCTCAAGATTATTAACACAAAAGAGGGTCGTCATAAGCATAAAAATATTGCCCTCCCCACGCCAGATTTCGTCACCCTGGTTTTTACCATAAAAAAGGGAGAATAGAAGGAAATTTCCTGGCTGCCGCTTGGCGCACCCTCATTTTGTAATAAGCTACTTTTGCATCTGGCCTATTGCTCTTTATTTTATCATTTGCTGGCTTGTTCTGCTCTCCCTTAACCATTTTATTATAGCTATTTTTTGGGTCCTAATCCCCTTAATAAACGAAAATTGTCTGATGACACATGTGAATTGGGCTTGCAGGCAGTGCAGCCTAAGCTCTAATAAATTTACGATCGAAATTTCGCACGAGTTTCCTATTAAAATGCTGATTTTTGCGGCAAGTATTGGCGCAATCAAGAGCCTTAAGGTTAATGGATTAAGCGAATCAGTGGATAGCTCTGTGCTACATATAGGAATTGCAAAATTATATAATTATGCTACAGCATAAATACATGAATGACCCACCTAAAATGCATATTTTTTATTATTTTTATTATTTTCATTATTTTATTGTTGTGGTAAAAGCTAAGTTGGTCCTTTAATAATGTTAGGAACTTTACTTTTAATGGCAGAGAATGAAAGTTAGTTAAGTTATCAAGTAAACCTTTTAATTTCTACTATAAAAACAATGCATTGGTTTAATTTTTTTAAGCAATTTTAAGGTTTTTAATTAGGGAAGGAGTCTTCCAGCAGAGTGTGTAAATATGTCAATACCTATAAGTGAACTACTTTCCAAGCTCGCCTTCCCTGCAGCACAGAATCCCACTCCTTTCACGTCGACCGCCAGTTGACTGCTGGTTTTTAATTAAAATATAAAAACGAGGGGAACGTGCCGCGGTCGTTAGGCAATAAACTTGGACACCGCGCATCCTGGCAAGGACAATTACCAGGCGGAAAATGTCGCAACATTTTCGCTCCTTATCGCGGCCCTTCGGTACTTTAGGCCAAGGAATTCCGAGCCGCGGCATAAAGGAAAGCGAATTAACGACATTGTAATGCTTATCTGAAAGGAGAAAAGGTCCTTTTGCGGAGTGCACAGGCACATCCTTTCGCCCCTCCCACCCGCGGCAACATATTTTTTTGGAGTCCTAGGTAGAGTTCCCAAAAAATGGAGGGAAAATCTTGATTTTTAATTTTAACGCTTTATTTAATTATGTGCAGACGAAACAACTTGAAGCTTGCTAATAAAATGCTTAAGAAGTGTCCTTTCTGCTTTCCCTCATCTCGTCTGGCAATAAAACCCACAAAAAATGGGCTAAAAATGGATTTTTCCAGCTACTTTTACTCTCTTTTTTTTTTTAATAAAGACATCAACAGATGGGCGGCGATAAAAAGGCAAAGATTATGGGACAGACTACAAAGAAGAAGATCAGGGAAGGTCCAAGTGTCCTGTGTCCTGCGTCCTGTGTCGTGTGGCTTTTGACACCCCAAAAAAGCAGAGGCAAAAACAGGCAACAGTTTCACAGTTTTTTCGGCCATTCAGATTCTATTCAGATTCGAAGCTGGCTTGGACAAAAGGCCAGACGCAGGAGATTTAGTTTTAAGCGTTCACACTTGACCCAAGGATAAAAGGTCCTGCTGTGAAAGTTGCGTACTTTTTATGGCTTTAAAGATAAGCGTTTACTTCTTATTCGATTCTGTTGGCGCGCAAACTTTTAATTAGCTGGAAAAAGTCCTGCTTCCTCCCATTTTCACACTGAGTGCTTTTCAATTGCCGCCGAACAAATTGGACACCAGAAATACCCAATAAACATCAAATACAAATCAATTGCCCGAGGGGATGTTTAGCCTACTTACGGGCATCATTTGAATTGTCACCTGTTGTTCCGCGCGCTCGTTTAAATCTTTAAAATCAATATGCCCAGCATAAACAGCCAAGCCAAACAGATGGAGCTGCTGGGTAAACAAGGGGAGTCCTGGCGCAGAGCAGGGCGAGTGGAGGTGGCAGCATCCTTGAAAGGTGTTGACTCCTGGAAGTCTGCAGGAGACGCCTTTGGGCGACAGACAGACGGGCAAATTGAAATGGTTTAGATTACATTTGACTTTTATAAGCGGATTTGCGCGTGTCACAGTTGCCGCCGATGTGGCGGTTGGAGGGGCAAGCGGGTTCTAGCTTTATAAGGAATGTTTCCCCCAAAAGATGCAGCCTCTTCATAGGAATACAAGCAGCATAAGCCCATATCTGGGCATTCTATGTAAAAAGTTGCAAAGCATTTAATGGAGAACGTTCAGCTATGGCACTCGATTGCCAAAATATTGCTTTTCTTACTGGTATAAAAATATTAAAGGTGTATTTTATTTCAGACTTCCACAAAACTTAATGTACATTCTGTTAACGCTATATTCTGTTCGCTATATACTCGTATGAGCTGTGGTCAAGAACCCCAAAGTCTACATGGACAGAATGGTCTTCCTGATAATGTCGATGCTCTCGCGCATTTGAGTCTCATTGATGATCAGCGGAGGAGCGAATCGAATGATGTCGCCATGGGTGGGCTTGGCCAGGAGTCCATTCTGCTTCAGCTTCAGGCACACCTCCCAGGCATCGAACTCTGTAAAAGTACGTGGATTACATGGGGATTACATGGGGATTACTCGTGCACAAGTAATGGAACCTACTCTGGTTGATAACGATGGCGTTGAGCAGACCCTTGCCGCGCACCACCGAAACCACATCCTGGGGCAGCGTGGACAACTCGCCGCGCAGGAGCTCGCCCATTTTGAAGGCGTTCTCCGCCAGCTTCTCCTCCTGCAGAACCTCCAAGGCGGCCATGGCCACTCGGCAGCCCAGGGGGTTTCCTCCGTAGGTGGATCCGTGCTCACCCGGCTTGATGCACAGCATCACCTGGTCGTTGCAGAGAACCGCCGACACTGGATACATTCCGCCGGACAGGGCTTTACCCAGGATCAGAATGTCGGGCTGAACCTGCTCGTAGTTCACGGCCAGCAGCTTTCCAGTTCTGGCCAGTCCTGTCTGCACTTCATCGGCAATCCAGAGGACATTGTACTTGGAGCACAGCTCGCGCACTTTCTTCAGATAGCCATCACTGGGCACCACCACGCCAGCCTCTCCCTGAATGGGCTCCACCATGAAGGCGCACACATTGGGATCCTTGAGCGACTCCTCGAGAGCTGACACATTGTCGTACTCAATCAGCTCGAATCCGGGCATGAAGGGTCCGAATCCCTCGAAGCTGCTGGGATCGCTGGAGGCGGACACCGCCGACAGGGTGCGGCCCCAGAAGTTGTTGCGCGCGAAGATGATCTTGGCCTGGTTGGCCGGTATCTTCTTCTCCAGGTAGCCCCACTTGCGGGCCAACTTACAGGCGGTTTCTCCGCCCTCGACGCCCGTGTTCATGGGCAGCACTTTGTCGAAGCCAAA